CCTTCCAAACCTCTCTGCTCGATATGTATGGGCAACATAACCTTCTTCACCTCCTGCCATAGTAAAAAGTAATTTAAAAAATATTAATACACAAATATAAATTAAAGAAAATATATATACTTAATATTGAATATTGTTTAACATTAATACATAAATATAAATTAAAGCAAATGTATATACATAATATTTTGCATCTAAATGCAATATATTATTCCCATCTTTTATTATATGTAAATGTCAATATGACATTTTTTATTGGACCAATTAACTTCATGAATGATATTCAATATTTTTACATGTTAATATAAAATTGCAATATGAATTATTGTTTTATTTCTATTTTCCACCTCCGAAATCAAATCTAGATACATGCTCAAGAGAACAATTAAAAACTCAAAATTTTCAACTTCAACAACACTAAACAAGGGTCCTTTTATTATTTCTTGTATATGTATCCCAGTGTTAACAATTTATAGAACCAAATCTCACATCTCAGTATAAATTGAAAAGCTTTAATCTTCATCATACCTAGATTATATATATAATTAAACAAATTAAAAACCAAAAGCTAAATAAGAATAAATATGCATAGATAAGCATAATTACAACACTCAGGTTCATTACGTTAATCGATTATTGAGTCAATATATTAAATAAGGAATTATAAAATTTTAGCTATAATTAATATTACACTATAGACATAGTAAAAACATTAAAAGCTTACAAACATTACCACTAAAATTTAAAATCTTCTTAATCAAGATGTACAAATTCTTCTCATTCCTTTTATTTTTTGCAAGAGTTAAATCTTTCATAGTAAGATCTAATGCTATGTACCTATAATTTTTTTAAAATAGTCAAAAATTAAAATTTATCAATACACTATAAAATATAGAGTTATATAAATGGATCAACATCAATGCTTAAAAAATAAATTTTCTTCACTTTCAATTAAAAGTCATTCCATACTAACATTAAAACATAAATTTCATATTACATTATAAATCAAATTTTGCATTTTTAGCTTCAAAGTTTTTTTAAAAAATATTGTAGATATATAACACAACATTTATCAAAAATGAATATATCACCAAAAATTCATAAAAAAAAATTAATATTACCTTATATTTTTTTTCTAATTTCCTGACTATATTTAAAAAAATTAAATAAATAAACTACAAAGGTGAATAATATCATTAAAGTAAGATAAACTATACAATTATAATAGATTTAATAACTATCAGAAAAACTAACTCTGATACCAATTGAAAGTTGGTATCAAAAATTTATTTTGATTAAATTCTATATACTTTAATTAAAAGATATATGTATTGTTATATGAATTTTATATATCAAAATTATTTTGTAAAGGTGAAAAGAGTAAAATTGATTCTCCCAAATTGCTAAGAAATTTATCAATTCAAGTATAGCATTGCATTCAAAGCCTAGTATACATGTTTTTTGTCTCAAAATTTACAATCAAAATTATTTTTTAAAAAAATAAAATAATAAAATGTGCTTTTTGGAAAAAGCAATAAATTTTAAAAAATTGATTTGTAGATTTTTTTTTTGAGAAAAATCTAAATTAATAGAAATATTTTAGAAGATTGAAAAATGTAACTCCCAAATTTTAGGTCTAGAAGTTCAAGAATATGTTAAAATTTATTAAGATGCTAGACCTAAATAATCAAAAGTCCATAAGATGCTTTGAAAAGATAAAATTGTTCTTAGGGATGATAATTTTAAAATCTTTCTTTGGCATAAGCGTAATATTTTTAAAGATTTTAAAGAAATGTTTAAAATTAAGAAATGAGAAATTTAAAGTCTAGAAATGTCTAAGATAAGTTAGAAAGGAATAAACAAAGCCTAAGAGAGCAATAGAGATATATAAAATCAATCTTAAAAAATAATCAATAAATTTACCAAATTAAATGGAGGTAAAGTTATTTGATAATGTTATCCTTATATCGTTAGTCTCCTAAAGAAGTATTATAATGAGATCTTAAAGATCATAATAGATTCAAAAATGGCTTAATGAGATCGCAATTAGATCTCATAGTCACAGTAGGCTTAATAGACCGTAACTAAGCCACAGAATATATAATAGTTCTGTAGGAAGACAATGGTCTAGAATGAGTTTAAAATACAAAAACCTCTTAAATTTGGCTAACTATATAGAGAGTATTCTTAAATTTTTATTAGATATCTCAACTATTAACTAAGCTAAAAAAGGAAAGAAAAGAAAAGTGAGAAAGAGTAATAGCTTATTAAGAGCCATATGATAATTATTAATGTTCAAAGGTAATCATACTTAATTAAATATAATGAGATTATGAAAAAATGTCCAGAGTTAAAAACAAACAAGAGTGAACATTAACTCAAAAATATCACACTCAAATAGGGACAAAGTGTAATTTTTGAGAGTTTTGGATCTTAAAACATAATTATAGAAAATTAACCAAAATTCATAAAAAAAAAACTTAAAAGAAATAAGTTTATGAAAGGAAGAAATATTTGGATGAACTATACCAACTTTATTGGTTAGGAATTTCTCAAAAGAATTACTTTACACTTTAAATTGCTCAAAAGAATTTTATTGGTTAAGATAATATCGATGCCTAAAAGTTAATTTTATCAACAGTCCATTTTGAGGGAGAAGTGGCGTCACATTGATATGAAGTCGAAGAAGATGTTGGGCAATTTACATAGTCTAAAATTGATTAAAAAAATATAAGTGAGAAATTAGATTTTGTGGATATTAGAATTTATCAAACATGGTTGAGTCATCCACTTAACCTCACACTCCACTGTTCCTCAACATCATTTTCGGTCACGAAGTACGGAAAATAGAGAGGGAAAGAGCTTGAGCTCTTCCATGGTGATTAGAGAAAGATTAAAAAAAAATCAAGCAAAATCTCTATCCAACCCTATTTTCATTTTAAAGTATCTTCACAAAAGTTGTTCCTATCATCAAGAAGAACATCTTTATGGTTTTACATTTTTCAAGAGGATGAGTTTAAAGTGGCAAAGATGGAGGAACGTTTGAGGAAAACAAGAATAAGATAGTGCATGAAGAACAGGTAAGCATAAGCTTTATTTTGAGCTACATATCTTGAAATTTAATTAAGTTTTCATGGTGCTAGTTAAAAGGAGATATTATGATTTTGATGATGTCAAGACCATGGAAATGATGTTAAAAGAGATTTAGACATGATAGATGAAGAGTTTAGCAAGTTTGTGAAAATTGGAAAAGTTTGAAATTAGGGAGAGGTGCTATCCAATTTTCTTTAAGATAAATGATGAAGTTAATCAAGTTTAATGTTCATGAAATATGATTTAAAACCTAACCTTAAGCCATCTAAAAATATATGAAGCATGAAAAAGCTTGGAAGCAAGCAAAATCTATGGTCTTAAATGCCCATAATTATATCCAAAGTTGGTTCAAGGGAAAGGAGATAGAATTTTTTACATTTGATTTTTGAGAAAAATGACATTACATGAATTTTTTATGACAAAAAAGGTTCATGTAAAAACTTAAAGAAAGCAAGAGTTAAATAAAGAGTGAGTCGTTATGTGTTGACAATATGATTAATGACTCTACAATTGTAATAAATATTCTATAATATATATTTATGGCCAATGAATATCATGAAAAAAAATTGAAAGTTTAGTCATGGGGAATCAAGTTATGGAAGCAAGGAAAATAAAGAAGAAATAGTAAAGCCAAAAGGTAGTAAACTTACCCTATATCATATACTTGGTATTTATGCTTGTATGATAATATGTATGTCTTGTTTTCTTGACTATAAGAATCATGAATGAATGTTGTTTTTTAAGTGTACCATGGTCTGTGTAAGATGAATGAGACATTGAGCATGTAACATGTGCCAATATGTTAATTGAAACATGCAATGCAGGCATGTCATGTATGAAGCTTTTGCCTTGTATACTTGAATAATATTGTTTACTACTAACCAATTACTAACTATTCTAGGTTATAAGCCTCCAAAAGAAGAGCTAAAGTAAGAAAAAAAAGGTAAGTGGAATAGGAGATAAATTTCCTATGGCATTACTTTTGGAGATGGGAAATGTTTAGATAAGTCCATAAGCTATGTAAATTTATAATAAAACCTTGGTGCGTATAAGTGATATGCAGTGATGTATGGTGGCCAATTTGGAGTCATAAATTAACTTTGAAATCATAATTTTAATATATATGATTGTCCAATTTAGGCTCTTTTCATAAAAAAAATCAATATTCCACTGTATAACATATAGTAATCCAAGTCCAATGCTTATGTGGATTTTTATGAGCAAGCTAGACACATCAAGCTTTCCAATAAGCCCTAAACTAGGTTATTTAGACGTATGAATCTTAAGTTATGAATTTTTTAAGTTATGGCACAAATTCTATTAGAGAAGTAGAAACTACATTATTTGGGATGCAAAAAAGCTTAAAATGTATTTTTATTATATAAAAGATTTCAATAGATTTAAAGATAAATTTAGATCTTCATACACATTTTTTAAAATTTAATGATTTTTCAAATTTCAACAAAACTATGTACTTATAATAATTTAAAAATTTTAATTTATGAGCTTAAATTTTCATTTTTCTCGAACCATAATCACTTTTAGTTCTATATGGAAATTGTTAAAAGTGAGGATTTGACAAATAGCTTGTCCAAGTATTTTAACCAAATAACTTGAAACAATGTATTAAAATAATTTTTTACAAATATATTGATGTCTTGTTTAGATTAGTTGAAATTTAAATTTAAACCAAATCCATTATTTAAATTCATAAAATCTTGTGAATTTAAATTTGATCCAAATCCAATCAAATTTCTTATATAATTCTTTTAAAATTTCAAATACCTAATCTTTCCTAATTATTTCAAATCCTAACCATACGTTTGTATTACTATACTTTCAGGTTTTATTAGTGAAAATTTTATGCTACCCAAATAAAAAATTTGAGAGAATCACATCTAAAGCCCTTGGAAGAAAGATAATTACTCTTAGGCGAAAACAATTTGATAATACTCTGCACGCCAACAAGCCTTATCCGTAATTAATATTAATGCTAAAAAGACTGAATTGCCTCTAAAACGAAAAAATAGAACCCACTGGAAAACAAAAGACGCTAGAAATTTTTATCTTCAACCTCGTGATGATTGATCTTCTCGTGATCCCCATTGGACATGTGCTCCAGAGCTCTAATGTTTTATTCACATTCTCGTTCAACTTTAGGGCTTTGAGAGGCATGGACTACCCCATTGCCATGCGACTCTACCTAACTTCGAGAACCATGGCTTCCAGAATGAGGACCATGTTGTTCATTCACTCGTTCATAGGCCTAATCTCAAGGGCTATGTCGATTAGGGTTCGCATCTTCGACAATTTCTCCAGCTTTTGCATCGATGTGTCCTCGATTTCCTTCCTCTATTTTCTTCTCTTTTGGTATTTAGACGACACAAACATTGATCACTAATCCGAATATGAACAAACGAAAGCATTGAATCCCCATACCTTATCAGACTTGTAATGCCAATAGGTGTGATCGGAGAGATCAAACTGTAGGCGTCTGGTTTTTTGGCTGGCCAAGACCTCATAACAGAAAATGCCATGGATGGGCATTAAGCCCTTGAGAGCAATAAGATAGCTTCGCGTCTTGTTCATGTGCAAGGTCAAACTGAAAAGGGGCTTCAAATGCGACAAAGAGGCGACAAGCCATTGCCTGACTCTCAACGTTCTTGTCGTTAATGTAGCCTCATTTTGATTGGCAGCTTTGATGATGACCATCTCGGTAACGGAGTTCCGAAAGCTTGTGGCCAGAGTGAACTTGGCTACCCTGATGCCGCCTTTGTCTTTGATAGCTCCAATAACCCAAATCAACTCATCCACAGCATCATTATGGGTCCTATTTTCCAAATCAGGGACAGTTAAATCTTGTCAGCTTCAAAATTAATTACAGATAAGGCCCTTGGGCCTACAATTGTAATTGGCCTAAAGAGTAATTATCTTCTTTCCAAGGCCCTTAGATGCAATTCTCCCTGAAAGTTTTTAAATACATGAAATTTAAGCTTAAAATCTAAATCTAAATCCATCTATCCAAATTTCAGCTGGTAGATTTCGACTCTCTCGTGTTTGATATATTAACTACAGGATGACGGTAAAGGCCCTTCTCTTTCTCGCCTAGAGCAAAAGAGAGTAGCAAAGAAAGGGCTTCCCAACAAAAGGGGCAATTATAGTCTCACCTTCACTTTTTATGGCCTCTCTCTCAAAAATACAAAATTTTTAATTACATATTTAATAATTAATACTATAAATGCAATAAAGCCGTAACATTAACACTTTAATCAAATGAAATGAACAATTGGGAGGAAGAAAAATTAGGAGAGAAAAATGTTATTAAAAAAACTCATAAAAATAGTAAAAAAATTACTATTTTTGAAAATTCCTTCTCCTACTTTTCTCTTCACCCTATTTTCTTCCCACTTTTTCTTCCATCCAAACCAAGCCATAAGAAAACCTGGGCGTATCCGAAGAGAATATTGCTGGCCAACATTTACTCTTCGGAGTAGCTGTCAACACTATCTTGCTCATATATCTGATATTCTTCATCACCAACATTTTCTTCTGCTCTATCCTCATCATATCCACTAGAGGGAAAGCTATCAAAAAGCTCCTGGAGATGGGTTCTAGAAATGTTCTCTGCGTTCATATCTGAACTCTACATAGGAATAAAAAAGCACATATGGATCCAAGGATACATGACATGAATGATATTTGAGAAACTCTAACAATACAAGCCTTGTCTCATTAGATGAGATCGGCTGTATAGATTGGACAACACCATTGTACACTATCAACAACCTGAACACAAGAATCATCAAGAAACCAAATTGAAATACAATTATTAAGTTTGATTATCATGGCATGACATCCGCCCAGACAATATTAGTGTAGAAAGCTGTAGCCAGTCCATTGTTTTCACTAAAAGCTTGAATTTATGAAATAACACATCAGATACAATACACGCAGGGTATACAATTAATATCAATATTAATATAAAATATAAAAACCATAGCATATTACGACTCCACCAACAGAGGTTAGTTTAATTAGTAAATATTTAACTCATAACTCACAAGATCATGGAATTAAATCCCACTACCAATGTAGAAACATTATTAGTGAGCGATTTATACGAACTTTTACAAGTGCTTTTTTGAGCTTAAAAACATGCCAGGCCCTTGTAAGCCTGGGACCCAACTTATCCAAAGTTTTTTGTTACACAAAAAAAAAAAATACGACCCATTCTTAATTCTCAAAATATTCATGCAATAGGAAAACTGGTTATGAGATAGGGGTTCATATGTCCAAGTCACATACTCATTAGTTTAAGTCATGCCCTAAAATAAGGCAGGTTTCAGTGTATTAAAAAGAGAAAAAACATTTCAAATAGATAAGGATACAAGAATGTGGTGGCAAAGGCATATCCCCATCTTCAGCCTACACAAGAATCAACCGCATCAATTAAAAATTAGTCTACATCAAAAGCCAGTAGGAATGCAGTTGATCGATGATAGAGTACTAATTATGTGGGATAATGAATAATTTAGGCAGTTACAAAAATATTAGGAATAATTATTTATTTTAAATTATTTTAGATATTTTTTATTTGATAATATTATTTAGGGTATTTTATGTTTTGTTGAGTTTCCTTTAAGAGCAGCGAGTGCTTGTAAATTAAGTCAATAATTATATTTATTTATTTATTTCAGGTAGTTATGCCCCATTGTGTGAGTTATGGATTAATGGGAGTCTTTTTTGGAATTATTAGTTATTTTTTTGTCTATAAATAGGGATACATATCATATGGAAATCACCTGGAAATAAAATCATTATTTTTTCATATTCATGGAGATTCTTCTAGCTTTATTAGCGGTACAAGTTAAAGATTCTTGCCCATCTTTATATAAGATTTCCCTCCTCCATTAATTTATGAAGTTAGATCCTGATTTAATATTTTAATAAAATTTATCTTTCTTATTTCTCTCTACCTATCGTGATCCTATCAATCAAATTCAAAATGAGGTCAGACACGGATCAAACCAAATCAAGTTCGTCACAAGCGTCCCATTCTTCATCGCTATTGTTAGCCTCAGCTGTATCTTCCTCATTATCTTCAACATCAATAGCTTCATCGTTCTCTTGCATGCCCAATATTCCTTTTACAAAATTTTCATTAATATCAGTACATAGTAAATATTATTTTGCAAAGTCTCAATAAGTAGAAAATGCATTAGTTTGTAATTACAATAAACATGAAATTGATTTTTATATAACAACTAAATAATCATGACATTACCAATTAATTAATTCAAAGAACAAGAGAGAAAAAAATAAGAGAAACCAAGATAGGTTTTTCTCCTTTTGTTCATAATAATGGGAAGGAAAAAAGGTTAATTCGGCATGTTATTTGAAGTAAAACATACAAGGAAAAAAAAAGGAATTCCCCTTAAAAAAACAAAAGAAAACGGATAAAAAGAAAAGAAAAGAAAAACCAAAAGGGCTGAGAAAGCAACAAATGCCCTACTCCTTTTCCAAAAGAGAAACCCCGTTAGATAAACTGATAAGAACATGAAATGCAATTCTCATTATAAAGGGAGATAAAAGTGATAGTAGGCAAGGAAAGTAACTCAAAATTATTCAGCAGCTTTTGATGTTGAAAAAATAATAATTTTATTGAAATAAGGAGAGAGTAAGAACATAGAAAAACAAGAAATTCTCCTAAAAAGAACACAAATACAGTCACAGAACAGAACTACATAAGAAATGTCCAAATTTAGGAGACCATGTGCAAAGAACAAAAGAGAAACCGTGAATACAATTTTATCCCATGACGCATTCAAAGGAAAAGAAAGAACCTTGAAAACCAAATAAACCACATAATCCCACAAACTATACATTGCAATAGATTTTTGCTTCTTTTTTGTTACCAAACCCTCAGACCGAATTTGGAGCAGAAGTTCAGTCAGAGCACCCAGAACTCGATAAAAATACCAAAGAACAGTTCTTTATCTAGTGACACTTGAAGCTAACAGATTTTCCATGGGCCCTTAAGACAGTACTGATACATGGCCATGTGACACTAGTTAATTTAGTCAGATTTGACAGCCTCTACAACACTAAGCAAAACGAAAATAAAGAAACTAGGAAGGTTGTAAAGAAACCTGAGTTAGCCTGCCGGTTGTCCTCTCCATCAAGCTTTATGTTCTCCCTACAGCAATCCCTCTTTAATTTTTCAAACCTTGAAGTAGCAGTTCTGAGTAAGTTTTCTGCACCAGGTTTTGGAAATACTGATAGGAACCTCATCATAAGACGTTGTCTAAAACAATTGAGTATGTTGTGTGAAAACCATCCTGTTGCAGACTATAAAAACGAGCATGTTAAAAGCAAATATGATAGTTTGCCAACTTTCTTATGATAACTTATAAAGAAAAATAAATCAAGTAGTTTCTGCATTTTTTTAAATTTGACGTAGTGTAATTAAAGTTGACATGCATGCATAATTTCAGAACAAAATAAGATTATACAAAATCAGGACCCAGCTTCATTTTTCTCAATAAATTGCAGCATAAATATTTAAATCTAAGATTTACCGCAAATTTGCAAAACTTGTTACCTCCAGACCGCCACTAAACATTACTCAGCTGCTTCTTTGATTGTTCAAGAATGCAGAACTGTATAGGACCTCATAAATAAACATAGATATCTCCGTCTTCAAGCTAATTTAATGCCTTATGACTTATGGAACCTACAACTGCTAAGGGAGACATTGAGTGTACTAGAAGTTTACTTATCTTGAAAGGCTAACAGGCTTTTAGCTTAATTACATTAGAATTAATAGACGTAAAGAAAAAGAAACAAAGGTTTAGTGGCGGGAACCAGAAACTTCTTGACAGAAGAAAAGGAAAGGATTGATTTTGTTTGAGGATGTACCTTGACTGCCAATAAAGAGAGAAATGGTAAGTTTTCACTGAGTAGTTTTGTGTTTTTATTTATTTATTTATTTTGGGGAATATCAAATCAAAGGGCTATTAGATGGGGAAAAAAAACACTGGTAGCCTAAAAAATGGCAAGAAACAGTAAAAATGCAAGGAAGGAAATGCCTCATCAAACAACCTAAGAAGGCCTCTTGAGAAAGTAATATTTTTCAAATAAAGGCCGTCGAACTATATCATATACTTTTTGTTTGTTTGAAATCTGAACTTGATGATCATTTTCTCATGGTTAAGCAGAAGCAGCACATACATTCAAGAAACGAACAATGTCTGAATCTGACATGTTAGATGCTTCAGACACGACATGAAACTTCATACTACATACAGGCACTTCAGATTTTGTTGTGTCAACAGTATGCCTTGTGGCTTGTGTTCATTCAATATCCACGATTACATAGATGCTTAGCAACAATATTTCCGTAGCTATCTATTGGAATGTCAATGATTAATCACGTTGTTAGGCTCCTTATTTATTGTATTGCATGAAAATGTGTTGTTCGTGGAAAAGAACTTGAGATCACTTCTTCCATTCCTTCCATCCTTCAACATTTTCCCTAATTTCCAACCCATATATACTCACAACCAGTCAAGAATCTGAATGTAACACAGACAGATCTGAAATCAGTAAAAATGCCATGCAAAAGCAAATTTTGAAAGTGTACTCAAGGAGGAGAAACGGTCTAGCAACTGGTCAACAATGTACAGCTGAAGAACTTTGCACACATATTCTATTCTAGGTGTTCTCTGATGCCAAGCAGTATGTTGGAAATGATTTGCATGTTCCCAATGCATTATGGAAGGGAGTAAAGATCTTGCACACAGTAACCCATCAGTCACTACTTCATAGGATAGGTTATCCCTTAAATTTCAAGCATTTGTTACTAGTGATTCTAATGAGAATTACCAAGGGATGAGAAAAATATGAAAATATTAACATAATAGCATCTGAGTCTATCAAAGAACTGTTATTGTCAGTGTACGCATTGAAAAAAAATGTTAAATGAAAAATCATACAATAACTTACAGTACAAGTTGCCTGCACAGGAAGCTTCTTTATTTCCAGTTGGATGTAATCATCAACAAGCTCAAATAACTGTAATGACGTTTGGATCTTGTGAGGGAAAACACGAAAAGTACATATGTCCTCCCATCTATGCTTCTTTCTGCATACAAAAGTAACATAAAAGAGAGAAACAGAAGTTAAAACATTGTAGTCAAACATACAGACATTAAGAATTACAAGATATGATATTTCTTTTTTGGCCAACATACAAGATATGGTATTTCATGCTAAAAAAATCGTCAGATTCATTAACATCATGTCATAAGGAATTGCTCAAAGTTAAACCTTCTTGGTAAAGGCAAAGATGAAACAAAGAAAAGAACTTACTTGTTGGCCAATTGAGAATCACAGTAACTTCTCAATGGTATTGGGACTCGATAATCAATTCTTTGATAACTGCGAAAATAAAGGTTTGAACATTAATAACAGAGTGAAGGCCCAATGTTTTTTTTTTAAAAAAAAAATAATAATAATTCAGTAGATAGTTAAAAAGGCTCCTTGTGGAATTCAGGCCTTTGATTTCGCATCCATTAAGTTATTATGTAGTAACCAAGCAGCAATAAGCATTTAAAGGAACCTAGACCATTATGACAAAGCTAAGTATGCTGAAGTTGATCAGCACTTTATCAAAGAAAAAATAGAAAAGCGGATTATTAAGGTAATTTATACAATTCTACTTCAACAAACAACTGATGTTGTGACCAAAGCTAATTCCAAGAACCCAATTTGACATTCATTTATCCAAGCTGGCAATGCTTCACATACATCCCCAGGGGGCATAATCATAATATTTTTGTTACGTCAGGCTTATAAATAGAATGAAATTATTGTATAGAATTTGCACCAGAGAGAGAAGCACAAACTCTATAAAGCTTTTTGTCTTTAAATAGGGACCAAAGTAGTATGGGGTGCCTAAGTGCCATATTAAATAATATGGACTGTTCAATGAAATATTTCAAGTAAGTAGGCTCTTTCACTTCAATAGATATCTTTCAAGGATGGGCTTTTCACCCCAATCTAAGCTGTTTGGAGTGTCTAGTTGGGAGAAACCACTTCAAGCTAAAAGCTTATGTTATTAGAAGGCCCATGAAAATTTTTGCTAATTTTCAACATGCCTAAGCAAGATTATGAACATTGAACCAAACAACTTTCTAGAATTCTTGTCCATGACAGATTGAATTCTTTTTTGTTACTTATGAAGGTAAGAATATCCATGATATCTTAGTATTCTAAAAAGTCTGATAATATCAATTAGAATTTATTAAACACTGAAACTAAACAAGAGTGTAAGAGTGACCAAAGTACAAGAGATTAATCAAAAGTATAACTTACATGCGAGAATCATGATCTTTCCGTGGGTCATATCCCTTCTTGATCCAAAACCTAAGAAATGGTCCGCTAGAAAAGTAGTAAGCGATTCTAGAAAGAAGCCTGCAATAAGAGAGAATAGAATGTTACCGTCAGGAATTCAACCACTACAATTTAAAAAATTTAGTTCGTAGAACTTAAGCAAAAAACCTTCTAAGCATGTCATGTGAAAAATTTAAGCCTTTGTCAAGTAAGCATTCTTTAATAGAATCTTTTGGCCAAATAGGCCGCTCGTCAAAGAGCCTAGATATAGCCTTCTGTGATTCCCACTGATCTGAGCCTTCAGGCACATATTCCTCCCAATTCACTATCTTTGGAATCTGTAAGAAAGTTAAGCATAACCCAAAACCCAAGAGTGCACCATTCATTGCAATATATCTTAACAAATTTTTATTTACTTTTCCTTTAAGACGTCAGCAAGAAGCACCAACGTACTGCAAACCTTTTGCATGCAATCCACTATATTTTAAAATTGACAGAATTATCAATGCAAAGGAAAGTTTAAAGAAAATAAAATACATGATCTTACACTCCCAATGGAATAAACATAATTAGCAGGTGATATTTCACGATACTAATTTGAAAGGAATTCATTCTAGTAGTAACGTTTTGAGACCACAATACTTTGTTTTTCATTTTCAATGTAGGAGAAAACTTGTCTTATTTCTTGGCATGCAATCAATTTGCAGTAATATATTCACTTACAAGTTAAAAGATTCCAGAACTGCCACTGATTACTAATCTCAGTAGAAGCAGCTTCTAGAGAAACCTTCAGGTGTTAATTATTCAAATTATATACAGAAATTTGGGGGGAGAGTTAGACAAGTGAGCACAAAACCAAAATGATGGTTCTTAGAATGAAATCAAAAACAAATTCTTAACTTTCTTCTCTTGACACCCCTCAGGAAATCTGAATTGGGAAAACCAGACAGCGATAGAAATCTGAATTAGGAAAACCAGAGATAGAAAACTAGACGGAAATTGGTTAACTTTCCTACCTTGAAGTTTGGTCACCCAACATATTTTTAAATGAAATTATATGAGCTCATCGCACCTCTATCCTAAAATTGATCCCCTTCACTAGATAAACAGTCCGTGCAACCTAAAATATGTCCTAAACTAACAGCTTTTGCCAGTCAACAAACACCCAAGTAATTAATTAAAGACCCCAACTAAACAATAAAACAGAAAATTTAACCACATAGTTCCAATAAAAAGCATCTGTCGTTAATAGTTGCTTACCCTTAGAAAATAAAAACATTCATTAATAAAGGCATTGAATTTTGAGCCTCAATAACTCACAAAACGATTATCTACTAATTGTGATAAGGATATCTTTAATGTCAAAATCAATTGCAAGAACTGACTCTATGTCCATCTGCACCAAAAAGAACAACAGTAAGTTTTCTTCATGCAAATATAAAAAAGGTAAAGGTGCAAATCAAGCCATGAGTTATTTTCTAAGGACCATTGGGTAACTTGTACTATGAGGTGGTACCAAAAAAAAAAAAAAATATCAACTATAGAAAAATGAGCATCCATAGCCTTCCATCCATTTTGGCTAACGTCTGTTTTTATGCCTCGCTCTTTCACTCAATCTCTCTCTCACTCTCTTCTTTGCCTCTACCTCTCTTTCACCCTCAAACCTCCCTCACTCCCAACGAGAAGCGTTGCAGATCATCAGCAGAGGAGGAGGGGATGCCTATGCTCCTTTCTCTGACAACAACTCTCCTCCAGCCAACAATATTTGGAAACATCAAGAAAGGGACAAAAGAGGTCAAATAGTAGTCACACCTGTGGGACGATTGTAAGAGGGCTCCCATTGCGCAATGGCAAGTCTGAAACATCAACAATATGTGAAGGTGAAGGAGAAGGGTATCTTCCGATCATTACTTGAATGATATCCTATTGGAGAAGCTGTCGCGAGAACGAAGTCAAAGACGTGCCACAAAGGCCTACTTGGAGAGCATTTCAAAGTCGATCATTAATTGATCTATAATGAGAGCCACTTTCTATTCTTTAATATATTTTAGCTTGATCAAAATCTTTCTACTTAATTTACTCTCATGAGGCTGCTTCTTCTTTCTACTTAATTTTTGTGCTTCAATTTGCCATCATCATCAAAGAGAGGGGAAGAAAGAGAAGGCAGAGAGAGAGAAAGTCACAAATGACAAAGAAGAAAGAGGGATCAAATGAGGAGACATGTGGCTTGATAGTCAAATAAATGTTTGTTTGTTAAAAACTAATGGTAGGCATCCCATACTCCATTGTACCACCTCATAGTATAAGTTATCACACGCTCCTCAAAAAAAAAAAAAAAATCCCAGTCAAATTTGCACCTTTACCCATATAAAAAAATATTATAAAGGCATTCTTTCATGATATTGTACATGCACTTATAAAAGCCCCAATGCAAACATGTACAATGTTTTGATTGGAACAATTTCTTTTAATTAGATTTCGAAGTCATGGGCAGAAAAAAAAAATGTCAACTGTGTAACAGCGTGCAGTCTTTGCCGATACCTTATCATGAAGATGTGCCTGTAAACAAACAAAATCAACCATTATTTCCAACTGACTGGTGCATTCTAATATAACAAATGTTTTATAGTCTAAGCCTACATCTCATTAAGAAATTAATTCAAGAAGAGTAATACCTCAAATTCACGTTGTGGGCTAGCCTCTTGTCTCTTTTTTGAACTCGATGTTGATGGTGGTCTCAAACTGAAATATAGAAAATATGATTTTAAAAATAATTAAAAATACTCAAATCATGAATATATATGATTAGAACTCAATATTTTAAAATGTTTTGTTTATTAAAATTATGTGTCATTTTACTTTGTTATATTTTATCAAGGATTATGATCTTGATAGGATTTTCATGTTATCAAGCATTCTAGAATGCTCTCTTTTGGGATCCATCTAGAGTCCTTATTTAGATCACTTTTCTGAATGATTACTATTAATAATATATCAGTTCTCTTCCTCCTTCCCTCCTCTATTTTGCTTCATGTTGGCTACTAGTCTAGCACAACTCCCCCTCGCAAAACACTGAGGGTTTCTCTTCATATGACCTGATAGTATATTTCATCCACTTAGGAAAATAAGCAAAAGTCTTCAATTGTAATAGATGATATCTAACCAGATATTGCAAATCAGAAAGTATGCAATCAACTAAACAGGAGAGGCTGCAGGAACTTACACTACATTTTCTGGCACATCTTTTGGGGAAAAAAATGGAGGCACTATAATCATAACATCCTCCTGATCCACATCCATGAGACCACCCTTTTCTATAACAACACACAACCAAATACAAAACCACTGCATCGGTCAGTAACTATTACATGCATTTCAGAAACATATACAAACACAGAAACATATGGTACCCACCAAAGAGAGGCTCTTCAAGTTCTGACCAGTTTCTCTTTCTCCTCTGCGCAATATTGGCATGAACTGGAATAACATGTTGGTAGTCTACCATTCCTTCATAATTTTAGAACACAACAAAAACAAGTCAAATTACTTTAGAAGTTGCATAAATTTAATGAAAACTACCAGATCTCAGCATGAGGCCACTTAAAAGTAAAACAAGCCAAACCTATGTTTCTAACCATTAAAACAATAAGCTTCAGGAACATGAGCAACAATATCAGCAATAAGATTTGCCTCTCCATCTGCAGATGTACAGTTATCTGTTTCTTCAGCGGTAGCTGCCATATCAGTTTGTGATTGAGTTGTTTGCGCCCCATTTTGCATCTCATTATTTGACAATCTGTTAGAAGTTTTAGAATCATGACAAACATGTGCTTTTTCCCTAGATATTTTAAGAAGAAAATTCTTGCAAGGACGAAGCTCCCCAAATGCAGGATGTGAATATGGATCTTCAGGGCGGAAATGGAGCTCCAATTTCTCAGATTGTGAACTGCGAGCCTGCAAAACATCATGCCAGACCATAATATAAGTGAAAATGCAAAGAAACTAAAACCCATTGACAAATTGTTGCGAAAGGGCCTAAGGCGCCATAAGCCCAAATCAAGGTTAGACCTATTTTTCCTTATTTAAATAAAATCTGCTATCTGTTATTTATATCTGATTTTATCTCTCATCAGCACCTGATTTGATTTGCCAAGATTATAGGAGAGATATTAGTGATTGGTGTAGCTTTTCTTCCTCTCATCTCTTCTATATATGTAAACGCTTCTTATGAATAAAATATCAGTGCTGTTCTACACTAATTATAACACAAATCATGAATAAGGGCCCATTTGTTTCAAGTTCATTATGAAAAAAAACAAAAAACTTCAGTAATTTTGAGAAATTTTAGAATGTTTGTTTAAACTTTTCAAAATAAATAAAATCTTAATAAAAAAAGATTTCTAATTCTTTTACGAAGTTATTCTGAATGCCTTCTAACTATTTTGAAAAGCACTTTCAAATAAAAAATAACTTCTGCATTTTATTAAATCTCTAAACAATGAATCAAGTTTTTATACAATTTAAAAATCACTTATTTTCTAAACATAAACAAAATGGGCCATAAACGTTAGTATTGTGAATAAGTGAATAAAAGAGCAGAACTAAATTGGCAGAAATAAAATTTACTTGTACCTTAAGGATGCCTTGAATTCCACCAAGAGTATCTACTGCACGAGACATGGATGATGGATAACCAGGATAATGGACTAGAAATCCACAGGGGCTAGGCAGAAACCCCGAGACTGTGCCATCTTTAATCACTCCCATCAGATATACAATGAAGCTTCTCCAGTTCTACTCTGGCAAAACAAGTTCCCATGTTGTATTAGGTTGATCTTTCAGAAATGTTTAACACTCTAACCATAAAAAACAAGGTAGCATGCTTACACTATATTGGACATAGATATTTAATTTACTAAAATATCCACAAAAAACGGCATATATGAAAGAAACACTGAAATGGAAAATTTCAGACAGCAATAACCATGCTACTCCAATTTCCTTTGAGCTGTGCTTCACAAAGCTAGAGGTACATTAATATTTAGGAACTAGGAACAAATTATCAGCATTCTACATTCCACAAATCAATTGGACTACACAGGAAGAGCTAAATTATCAAGGGCCTGATGCAAATAATAATACTCATATTTCAGAGCAGCCTATGATAGTAATCTCATAGCATCCAGTCTTAATGACAATAAAATCTGCCATCAAATCTCAAAATGACAATAATGTGTATACTTTCAAGGCAAAAGAATGATACAAGCAGCAACAACAACAAGCTTTTATCTCACTAAGTGGGGTTAGCTATATGGATTGTAAGACGCCATTGTACTCTATCATTTACCAAGCTTTTAGAAATATTAATTAAGAGATCACGCTCAACAACTTCCAAAAGTATTCTCTTAGACCTTCCTCCACCCCTCTTAACAGGGCTCAAAGTTATATGTTTTCTCTTCTCACTGGTGCCTCTCACAGCCTTCTTTGTATATACCCAAAACATCTCAAAGATTAATTTAAAAGATAAAGACTCAAAGATGACCCCTGATGTGGTCCAATCTTTATAGGAAAGTTCTTTGTTTGACCACTAGACGTTCTTATACTAATTAACACCCCTTCATACACATCTTGTATAATTTTAATGTAAGCAATCCGTACTCCCTTCTTTTCCAAAACTTTCCAAAACACTTCCCTTGGTATACGATCATAAGCTTTTTCCAAATCAATAAAAGTTATGTAAATCTTTATATTTACAATGATACTTTTTTATTAATCCTCTTAGTAGATAAATCGCCTCTATGGTCGTTCTACCTAGCATAAAACCAAACTGATTCTCAGAAATACTTGTCTCCAATCTCAACCTATGCTTAATTACTTTCTCCCACAATTTCATTGTGTGGCTCATGAGTTTAATCCCTCTATAGTTAGTACAATTTTAAATATCTCCTTTATTTTTATAAATAGGAATTAATGCACTTTCCCTCCAATTGTCAGGCATTTTCTTGGACCGTAAAATCACATTAAATAACTTAGTTAACCATCTCACCCCTTCTTCACTTAAATATTTTCACACTTCAATAGATATACAATTAGGTCCACTGGCTCTACAATTTGCCATTTTCTTAAGAGCTTTCTTTACCTCCTTATCACATATTATTCGATAGAATGACAAATTTTGTTCTCCTTCACAAGTTATTAAATCCTCCAAGTTACTAGACGAACCCTCTCCATCATTAAAAAGTTTGGAAAGGTAAATCTCCCATCTATTTTTAACTTCATCTTCTGTAACTAAAATTCTTCTCTCTTTATCTTTTATACACCTTACATTCTTGATTTTCTTTCTCTACTCTTAGTAATCTTATAAATGTTTTATTCTCCTTTCTTTGTCTTAAGGCTCTTATAAAATTCTTCAAAAGCTTTAAAACAAGCTTCACTCACAACTCTCTTAGTTTTCTTCTTATCCATACGGTACCTTTTTCAATTTTCCTCATTGTTACACAAATGTATGGTTTTAAAACAGTTCTTCTTATGTTTGATTTTGTCCTGTACACTATTATTCTACCACCAAGACTCCTGATCTCTTGGACCAAAACCTTTTAATTCTTCCAAAACTGCTTTTGCAACCTCCATAATCTTTTTAGCCATATCCTCCCACAAGATGTTAGCACTCCCCTGAAATTCCCAAATTCCTTTATTCAAAAGATTCTACTTAAAAATATCTTACTTCTCACCTTTTAATTGCCACCATTTAATCCTTAATGCTACTAGCTATCGACATTTTTGAATTTTACTCATAATACACACATCAAGGTCAAGGACCCTATGTTGTGTCATTACAACATCCCTGGGAATCACCTGGCAATTTTTACAGAGTCTTCTATCCGTGTTCCTCAACAAAAAAAAAATTCAATCCTTGACCTTAAGGCTCCACTTTTGTAATTGATGAGATGCTCATCTCTCTTTTTGAAACAAGTGTTGGCAATTTTAAAATCAAACGCCAACAAGAAATCGAGAAGAGTTTATCTTTTATTGTTTAGCTCTCCAAACCCAAAACCACCATGCACCCTCACATATTGACCAACCTCCCTCCCGACATGCCCATTAAAGTCTCCTCCAATAAAAATCTTTTCACTATGTAGTATGTGTTAAATCAATCCCTCCAAGTCCTTCCAAAATAATTCCTTAAGACTAGCTTCTGTCTTGATTTGAGGCACATAAGCTCTAGCAATTTTAACAATCCCACTTCCAACTATCATTTTTAAGGAAGTAATTCTGTTTCCAATTCTGCTAACTTCTACAATATTCTTCTTTCACTCCTTATCAATAATGATGCCTATCCATTGAGTGTGATTACTTTTTCTATATACCAAAGTTTGAAACCTTGAATATCCTTAGCTTCTTCTCCATCCCATTTTGTTTCTTGCAGCCATAGGATATTGATTTTCCTTTGAATCATAACCCCCACAACCTCTACAGATTTACAATTCAATGTCCCAACATTCCAAGTACCAAATATAATATTGCTCTCATGCACTAACTTCTTTAGCCACGCATGTCCAGAATGATCAGTAGCCCTTGCTCATTTAACAATACATTTGGGCACCAATGCAACAGCTCTAACTCACTTATCACTGTACTCAAGCCATGCAACGCGTTACTTACAGGAAACGACCTAGCATTAGCATTATAACGTCTACCTAATCAAAGAGCAATTTATCGTTCAGCTAATGACAAAGCCCTTGAACTTTCACACCTCTACCTAAATGAAAAACATAGAAAAGAACTGCATATGGTTTCTCAGGCAAAAAATGATTGCCACTAATTGACACACTCTGAAACCTAGACCCTTATGGATTTTGGGAGAAAAATAATATTTCTCATTGATTAAAATACTGAGTACAAGTTGACTATATATAGACAAGGGAAAATAAATACCATTAATGTCTAATAAAGCCTAATAATAAATACCATTAATGTCTAATAAAGTCTAATAAAGACTATACAATATTTACAATAAATACCAAATATTCCACACTCCCCCTCAAATTAGATTATAGATGCTAATCATGTCCAACTTGTTTATACAATCTTCAAATGAAGGGCCAAATAGTCCTTTAGTCAAAACATCAGTTGCTTGCAACTTTGTAGGCAAATATGCAAGCATATAATTCCTTCTTCCACCTTTTCTCTGATGAAGTGGCAATCTATCTCCACATGTTTAGACCTATCATGTTGTACAAGATTTAAAGCCATGCTTATGGCAGCTTTATTATCATAGTAGAGCTTCAATGATGAACTTGCTTCAACCTGTATTTCATTCAAGACTCACACCAACCACAACTTCTCTGTTATTCCTTAACCTAAAGCTCTTAACTCAAATCCAGTACTACTTCTTGAAACAACTCTTTGCTTCTAGCTTCTCCATGTGACTAGATTACCCCACACAAATGAACAATAGTCAGAGGTTGACCTTTGATACCACCCCAACTTGCACCCGTGTAAACTTCTATAGATCTTTGTTCATGTTTTCTAAAGAACAGCCCTTTACCAAGAGTACCTTTTAGATATCTCAAAATCCTATAGACTACTTCCATATGACTCTTCATTGGGCAGCTGATATATTAACTGGCTACACTGACAACGAATGCTATATCTAGCCTTGTATGGGGAAGATATATTATTTTTCTAACAAGTTTCTGATATCTCTCCTTGTCAGTACCTTCTTCTTTTTCTTCTTCATACTTCTCATCTGAGTTTTTTTCCTCCTCAAAGTCTTTCTCTTTTCCATTCTTGTTCTTAGGTTTCTTCTTTAGTTTCTTGACCTCAATAAGAGTTTCAACAAGTCTACAACCTAACATACCTCTCTCAATAAAAAGATCAAGTATTTATTTTCTCTAAGAGACATAAATTCCTCTCCTTGACCTGGCAACTTCCATCCCAAGAAAGTACTTTGGCTTCCCGAAATCTTTGACTTCAAATTCCTTACTAAGGACCACTTTTACTCTTTCTATCTCATCAAGTTGATCTCCAGTGAATATTATGTCATCAACATGTACAATAAGAATACATTTCTTACTTCCCTCAACGTTAACAAACATTGTATGATCTGACAAGACTTGCTTGTCAAACCTGTCAAGCCAAGCTCTTGGTGACTGTTTCAAGCCATACATAGACTTGTTCAATTTACAAACTTAATTTGCCCTACCTTTATCGAACCCAACAAGTAAAGTCATATACACTTCTTCCTTCAATTTTCCATTCAGAAAAGCATTTTTGATGTCAACTGGATAAAGAGATCACTCAAGATTAGCTGCCACAATCAATAACACTCTAATAGTGTTCAATTTTGCCACCAGAGCAAATGTTTCTTTATAGTCCAAGCCATATGTTTGGATAAACCCCCTTGCAACCAAGCGTGCTTTCAACTTGTCAAGGGCTCCATCTACCTTGTATTTTGGGATAAACACCCACTCACAACTCACTGTTCTCTTTCCTTTTAGTAGCTGACCAAGTCACCATGTCTCATTCTTTTTTAAAGCTCTCATTTCTTTCATAACAGTACTTCGCTATTTAGGGATGCTTAGAGCTTCCTGCATAGTCTCAAATACCTTCACTTTATCAAAATTAGTAACAAAAGCCTAATATTGAGGAGAGAGTGCATTGTATGAAACAAGCCTCTCTATCAGATGAAGAGTACATGAGCGAGGTTGCTTCCTCCAAACAATAGGAAGATCAATAGATTCACTTACTTATTTTGTACCATCAAGCATTGGGGTTTAAGGAGTTATCCCAAATTCTAAGTCATTATGAGTTTCTGCTTCAAGAGCTACCTCTAGTATCGACTCTCTAGGTGCTTCAGGTACAAGTTGCTCACTATCTTTCGATTTCTTTTTTCCAGTGTAAACTAAGAGTTCTCCCTTTTGTGGTCTTTTTGCATCTCCTCCTGTTTGCCTATGTTCCTTAGATTGTGGCATAAGAGGAGATGGTTCTGGAAGGGATGTTGGAAGGGTAGATGAAGGTAATGGCTTCGGTTCAGTTGGTGCAAACCATAGCTCAAAAACCACCAGTTCTCTGTCATATTTTTGTTCCCACGTCTGAAATTCACATTTCCTCTCCCCCTGAATTGAAGAATTGGGATAGAATAGAGAAGCTTCATGAAAGGTAACATCCAGGCTGACAAATGTGTGTTTTGTAATAAGGTCAAAGCATTTGTATCCTTTTTGAGTAGGAGAATAACCAAGGAATATGCATTTGATAGCTCAAGGTTCAAGTTTGGTGCTCTAGTAGTTATGGACAAAGGCTATGCAACTAAACACATGAAGTGGAAGATTGGTTTCAATATGGAATGTTGAGAAAATACTTTGCAACTTGTGAAGAGGAATTTCAAAGGATGAAATCCAACTAAGCATATAATTGATCAGGTAGGTTGCAGTCAAAATGGCATCCCCCCAATAAAATTTAGGCATATAACAGGTCAACATAAGTGCTCTAGCAACATCAAATATATGACGATTTTTCCTTTCCACAACCTCATTTTGTTGGGGTGTATGGGCACAAGAACTAGTATGGATAATACCATGCATTTGGAGAAAATAACTCAGAGATTGGTTAAAATAATCAATGCCATTATCGATGTGTAAGACTTAGATGATAGTGTTGAACTAGGTTTTGATCATGTTGAAGAAAGTCATGAACATGAATGCAGCCTCAGACTTGTTCCGTAAAAGATAAACCCAACTGACACGAGTGTGGACATCAATAAAGGAAATAAACCATGTGGCTTTAATACAATTAGATGTATGGGATGATCCCCACAAGTTACTATGAATGGTTGTGAAAGGTTTGATAGATATATATTTGGCTCTCAAAAGGATGTTCTATGGTGTTTAGCTAGTTCACACACCCCACAATGAAAGTCATTAACATTCAGGTTTGGACATAAACTTGGGAACAATCATTGCAGGTAATGAAAATTAGAATAACCCGACCTCCTATGCCATAATAGAAAATCATTAACTTTAGAGAGAGATGCAGAATTACCAACAATCGGGGAGTTACCCACTCGAGTGGTGGCTTTGAAATAGTAAAGCCCCTTATTCTCCTTAGCACTTCCGATTGTCTCTCCAGATGATAGATCTTGAAACACACAATGGCATAGGAGGAATTTAGCATAATAATTTATTAAAAGTAAGTTACAATCAAGTTTAGGCACATGAAAGACAGATGCCAACACTATAGAATTAGAAATTCAAATACTCCCTTTTCTAGCTATAAGTGCTAAAGAGCCATCTACAATCTTGATTTTAACATTTCCAGCATAAGGAGTGTAAGTAGTAAACAACTCAAGACAACAAGTCATATGGTCGGAGGCTCTCAAATCAACAATCCAGACTATAGCATTGCAAGATGTTTTTAGGGCCTGAAGAAACATTCCTCTTTTGGCAATTTTTGCTTTAGGCCTATGTTTTGCCACTGATACTACGGTCCCATATCTGGTCAACTTCATCAGAATATTTAGAAGTCTCCAAATGACCACTTCTAAGACTTCCCATGACACGAAACCCATATAGCAGAGAATAATCAATAACAATATCCCAAGAGCACCCCAAATTCCTTCAAACAGACTCCCAAACATACTGTAAGGGTAAGCCAATGTTGAGGAAAGGGTGCCTAGTCGTGGATGAGGCTTGGATCTCGCAGAAGGGTCTGCATTGCCAAAAAAGGGAGTCATGGCCTAAATGGAGGTGGCATGCCCTGACGCGCTACTAGGCTAATTCTGACAGCGAATCTTCAAGTGGCACATGTGGGCCACACGCACCGATGATCGTCACGTCCTCCGAGGGTTTCGCCGATTGGAGCTTTCTAAACACACCTAAGGGTTCGGTGAGAACCACAACAATCTCAACCAATACTTGCATCACAGTCCTAGGATGTTGTATAGAGTACCTTACATGAACCATAACCTAGGAAACCCTAATGACAATTTTAGGAGAAAAATAACATTTCTTATTGATTAGAATACTGAGTACAAGTTAACTATATATACACAAGGGGAAATAAATATTAATAAAGCCTAATAAAGACTATACAATATTCACAATAAATACCAAAAATTGCCATAACCCTAGTGTTAGGAAAGTGTTAGATAAAACCTTAAAAGAATATGGTATAATATAAAATACAAATAAAGCATTTGTATGGATAAGTTTAATCTTTGTAGAAGCTCACATGAGCACTTTGCAAGCTCCTTACTCAAAAAATGCCTGACACAAGGTGTTCATCAAAATGTAGGTTCTTTCAAAAAAATGCCTCTCCTCTTCATTTACAATTGTGATGAGACAAATTCATAACTTTAAGAGTTTGATATAGAATGAGAACAATGATGTCAAAGTCAACTTGAAGCTTTCTTAGGCATGACTCATATTGTTGATATATAATTAAGATCCACCTTTCCTCTCTAAAAGGAGAAATTTCCTTAGAAAAAGTAGAGAAAGTGTCACGCCCAAAATACTGAGCATGGCTGGCAGAAAATACATGGTTATCTTAGCTTCATAAGCCCAACTAATTTATATTTTCCTAAGTACAACTAGTAAAAATACACTTCAGTGGTATAACATCAAATGATATTATAATATTCACTCATGAATCTTTGTAAAAATTTTCAGCAGATCTCCTTCAAGAGTCAGATAATCTAAAACAGCAAAAATATTTATATCAAGTCAAACATAATATAAGCGCTATTTCCTCTATCAACAAATAATACAAATAAAGAGGTGGATGCCTTGCATGTTACTTGGAGCAACTATTGAATACAACAAAAGGATAATTCAAATTTGCCATAAAATTTTCTTTGCCATAAAAATAAATACAACCATCCAACGAGTAGGTGATCCACTTTATATGCAAATGAAGTGGCTGTAAGTTTTCACTATTTGGATTACAAATAATTTAATAAGTAAATGATGTCTCATAATAAGGCTCGTTCCTAATCATTCTTGTTTCTTGAGATGGATACATATTTATCGATATAATACTCAATATAAATGCATAAATAATATCGTAAAGAAGTATATGAAACATATTTGCGAACTCATTACAGTAACAAAAATAGAATTTGAAATAGTTATCATGGGTTCAACTTACTCAAAAATTTAAAATAAGAATTTCTTCAGTAATAAAAATAAAGTTAAAAACACTTTCTTGAAACAGTAACCAGGGTTTTTGGCATGGAAATCCATGATATAAGACTACTTAATATGTTCAAAACCAAAGAGAGGTGTCCTGCAACAAATCTTAAATTTTATATGAAAGAACATGAAAATGTGATCAATTTTAGAGGCATAAATCAGCAACAATATTTAAGACAACAAAGAAGATTTTCTCCTGCAAAAACAACATCAAATAGTCACACCTATGAATTTATTTCAATTATAATCATGAATATAAAGACCTGCAACAAAGGACCACTGTCAGTCCTAAAATTACAGTCTCTCATGCAAGGAAAAGCAAATAACAACACCAACAAAAACATACTCATTACAACTACAAATTGCGTGAATGCAAGTTCTGTTTTCAGTTCAAAAAAAATCATATAGCAAGCTTTCCCAATGGACTGGAATTTCACACAATACTATAATATGAATTAAGATTCACACATGCTAGGAGTCAAGAGATGGAGATCATTGTGCTAAAGAGCAACATCAACAACTTAGAGATAACATAATCATGTTACAACTTCTTTTGATTTTCACAAAGTATATTCAGCACATAGTTGAGCCAAGAAAATTTAAGAGAACGAATAACTAACTAATATGACCATTATTTAACAATATAATCTAAATAACATAACCCTTCACCAAGCATTTAACGAAACTTTAGGAACATATCGAACACTTGTACGCCAATAAGGAGGTTAAATAAGACTCAATTTAGAGTAAAACCAAAGTTGCAACCATGTTGGCTAACTATTAATTACAATTCTCAAAAATTACTTTTCCAAACATTGCATCAAACAATTCATATATACCCATAGGCTAACATAAGAACAAAGAAAGTCCTAGAATTAATAACCAAATGCCTTTCCAATAACTCCCTAATTTCATTTCCAAATTTTATGATAGAGAATAATTGCCTCCTATAATTTCATATTCAATTGTAAACTTCTTAAACTCTCCTAGGTTTCAAATAAATCAATTAATTACCTTCCTTTTTAATCATTAGCACAATAATAACCCTCAAATGCTCAATTCAATAAATTTTCTTCCTTATACATTTTATCAAACATCTTGAGTGCAAAATTTGAACCACAAAACAAACGTCTCAATTCACAAACTACCAACAATATTTTTCCAAGCATCAACACAATCTCTTAAAAGTTTTCATAATCAATTTTCTTAAAGAGGTTTTTCTTAAAATGAAAGCGGGACACGACCTTGAGATCTTTATATCAGTCATATAAGTAAATTTCTTAGTCTACTAATTTCCATCAGCTCACACTTTCGCTCCTTTCTTTTCTCCCAACCAGCAGCAACCACAAGAGAAAGAAAAGAATTTGGACATACCTAACACGCAGAGCGAGCTACAGAGCCAAAAATTCTCTCTCACAGCAAAGAAGAAGAGAATGTTCGGTCCTGCACTATTACAGCGGAGAGTGGACAGCCACGAGAAGAAAAAGAAACGAAACTCTGCATAACAGGGAGGAAGAAGACGAACTCGCGAACCCCAGACGATTTGAAGCAGCAAATGAAGAAAAATCACTCTTGCTCGAGAACTTAAAGTACAAAGTTTTGCACAATGTTTTGGACTGAAATAATATAGATTAAAAAAATTCAAAATTTTGCACAACTTCACACGCACAACGAACTCGTATCTTTTGTGCATGTGTCCGAAGATGCTAGAGAACGAAAGCTATTACGCGCTATTACAGATATATAAAATGAATGGGACGCTCACAGGCGTATATAGCATCAGCACAAAGGGAAGATAGAGATAGATTAAGAAATCAAGACAGAACCAGACAAAATTGAAAAAGCTCGCTGCAGGAAAAGGGGGAGGATAGACAGTGTCAGAGACCAACCTGACGGTGTTGTCCAAACCTCAAACAGACTCAAAATAATGCTCTTGAGTGGACAAGCGGAGCTCCCGGCGATGATTTCCAGCCGTCCGTGACCTACTAGCCGGTGGTGAGTGGTGACTCAGGTTTTGAGTGCGACGATAATATGATATAATTTTGTACATTGTATTTTTAAATTAAATATATATATATACACATTCTTACAATTTCATTTAATTTTAAATTAAATATTTACAATTTATTTTATTTTAATTATTCCTCATAAATTAACTAGTTAAATTTTTTAATTTTTTAAAATAAAAATTCTTATATTTTTCCTTTTAAAAAAAATTTAAAACATTTATATTTTTCTTAAATGATTATATGAGTTTAGAATTAATTATATAATGTTTATAACTCAAAATTTATATAATTAGGTTATCTTCTAAATATTTTTTATACGTGTAAAATTTTCATAAAAAATTATAATAAAATTATAAATAATGGATTAAATTAAATTTTTTTATTTTGGCTAAAAATATTAAATTAAATTTTCTACAAACTCCAAGAGTATTTTTGCTTTGTAAAATTTAATAATTCATTATTAATTTTAATATTCAAGAATCCATATATATAATAGATGAAATTACAAAAGCTTGATTAAAATAAAATAAACTGTAAGGACCTAATTCAAATTTAAGTGAAATTGTAGGACTTAAAAATCTATTTAACATTAAGAGTGAAAAGGTTACAATTACTTTTAAACGTTACATTCAATGATATGTTCAATCAAACTAAGTGTGTGTTTAGCTTTTAGTTTGTCAAAAGTTTATTTAATAAAAATTTATTTGGCAAAAGTCAGTTTAATGAAAATTAATTGTTATAATGAAATTTGTATTTGAATATATTTTTTCAAAAGTCAATTTAATGCACTAAAAGTTGTTTGAATTATGATAGTGAAATGTGCTTTTAAATATACAATTACTAAAAAGGACATTGATTTATAATGATTTATAATTTTTATTAATGTAATATATTTGAAATATTTAAAAAATTTGATAAATATTTTAAACAACATAAAATTTGATTCATAATGCTAAAAACTTGATCTCTAATTATTTATACTTTTTAATTTATAATTTTAGAAAATGTGATAAAAATTTGTAATTTTTTATTATACATTAATACTAAAAATTAACATGATTAGTTATTTAATTTATAATGCTAAAAACTTGATATCTAATTATTATTATTAAATTTATACCTGATTGACCATAATTAATCACAATCATATTCATATATCGAAATTTGACCCTTCTACAACTAACTTTCACAATTCACTAACTTCACATACTATGCTATTTCTTGACATAACATAGCCCACTTGGCTACTTCTCAACTCATATACATGCAATCCTATTTATAATACAGTGTTAGCCTCTAAATTACTCATGTCATTATAATTTTATCTTTTGGCTTAAGATTCACCCATAATAATCAAAATACAATCTTAGCCCTCAAATTACTCATTTCCGCATAATTTGTCCTTTGACTTAAGATTCACCAACACACAACCATTGCATCCCAAATATACTCAAATTAAAGCCCCTTTGTCTTAAAAGACACATATACACATAATTCGGGTTTGATTTCACAAAAAACTCAATTCAATACATGCATGCAACCTATAGCAACTCATATACACTTATATATACAATATTTCAATTCAGTTCATTACACAACCTCAGAGTACACGGCTTCTCAACTCAAGTCGGTCCAGACTCTCTTTCCTTGATCTGCTCACTTCCCGGTCCTATAAACATGTAATCACAGGGGTGAGATAAAAATCTCAGTAATAGAATAACTCATTCCTATTGACTACTACATACAACAATATGAAAGTAAATATAGTATACCATTAAAACCTCATAAAGTAGTATTTACATCATATCACATTTCATTTTCTACTTTTCATCATATCATAAAATACTAGCATGATCTCTACCAACCAAACCTCCAAATCACCCCAACATGAAACCATAAGCTCATCTCAAACTAATGTACACTCTCATCAGTCTTGAGCTCACTTGCAGTGGTAGAATCACCTGACCAAAAATGTTCTAACGTACAATATGGACTATGATTTTCCCCCAATACACACAATGGGGCGTCATTGACTCCCACCCGTATCACAAAGATACTAAAAAATCTTTCATCTCCAACACAGTACCTTAATAGGCACTTAGGAGATTTTCTCTAACATAGCACCTTTCAAGGTACTAAGGAAAATTGTTTCCAACACTACACCTTAACAAGATATTAAGGAAATTTTGCCATATGATCTTTATCATCCCCTATACTCGAGTGAACTCCTACCACTCCGATTATGCTTTCTCAAACCATTTAAGGTTCTCTTTTCACAATTTACTTTTTCTTATACATAATATATATATATGTATCACTTTACATTATAAAACACAATTTCAATACTCATTTCGATCAAAAGTTATTTTACACACACTATCACTCAATGCTACAAAACATGCTCAATTCAAAACTAGTTCATGCATTACATAGCATGCTAACATATAGTTACAATAAACAGTCAACAAAAAGAAGTTATTCGGTTACCTCAACCCTTCTGTCACTAGAAAGGTTACCCATGAATTTTCACTATTGTACAAGCTTATCTCAAGCTTCCTTTCTCTACTCACTCGTCTAATATGCCAATCTGAACACATTTGGCACATTTTAGTTATTTGGCCCATTTTGACCAAAAACTCATTTTTACTATTTAGGGCTATATTCATCCATAAACTCTTTTCCATTTATCCAATCTAAGTCATAACTATCCAATTACTACTTTACATTGCCTCAATCGGTTTTATTTCACTCAAGATAGATTTTGCCCTAACTTTCTCTCTCTAAAGGCCTAAAATTAAGTCTCCAGGTTCAAAGCTCTACCGTTCAGCTTTAAACCAGTCATAAAGCTCTAATTTAACTTTCAAGAACATTTTTATTACAATTGAGCAAGAATCAAACCCCTCAAATTCCACCTATTCAATTTTTCTATAACTCATTTTCAGAGAAATTTGTGTAGAATGGAAAGTAAGAGTTATACGTAGCTTACCTAGCAAGTTACCAATTCGAATCACCTTCCATCGCTCCAAAATGACTTAACCTATCTTCTCAACCCTTTTCCTCTCTCTGTTTCGTGTGTTTCTCAATTTCTCTCTTCTGAAATTTTCTAAAATTCATGACTTATGAACTGAATTTCTGGTCCATGTGCCATGGTGCATGCAGCACAAGCCGTGGCACGTGGCACAATGAGATTTATTCTTACCACGGGCACTTGCTTCGACTCGAAACACACTTCTATCACCCATATTTGTTCATCCAACACATGAACAAGCTAAAATGCCAATTAATCATCCGAATCTCTAATCTTACTTTAATTTTCACTTCACCCTTGATTAACCTATAAAATTAAGATTAAAAAATTCAGGATGTTACATTAACATCTTTAGACATTTTGTATGTAAACTTATATGCATCTAACCTAACTAATTACATTTAAGTAGGAACTTATAATGGTTTATTGCATTTGATCTAACCATAATAATTTAGTGAATGGAAGAAAAGTATTGACAAAAAAACAAAAAGATTGCATGTTATTTTGTAATTTAATGTTTTGAAAAATATAACTCATCCCCATGCCAATAAATAAATAAATAATGCTTCATAAATAAAGTACTCAAAAAAGCACTTTCAAAACAAAAAAATTGTTAATTAAAAGAATTCATTAATTTTCCTTAATAATAAAATTCACATTATATTTTTTTTTGGTAAAATTGTATTATAATTTTAATTAATAATCAATCATGTTCTAGAAAATTATAATTTTTTATTGTTATAAATTTATGTCATTGAAAAGTGGCTATAAAAAATGTTTACAAAAATTATTCTATTATGAAAATTAACATATTTTTTTATATAAAGTCAAAATTTAATACAAATATAATTCATAGGAAAATGTCATAAAATTAGAGTATTGCAAAATAATCAAGAAGAGAAACTAAATACAAAAAAAAAAACTTCTTAGACGACTTGGAAATGAGTGCTAAAATTTATGAAGCAAATGATTAATGCCCAAGACTATGGTGTCGAAACTACTATCACAGAATGCTATTAGAGAAAAGTATGGTTTATAAATGTTGTTAATTTGAATTGCAGTATTAAATAGATCATGATGAACACAACAGGAATCTATCCACCAAAGAGCAGCTCTCAAGCAAAGGAAAGGAAACTGAGATGCATCTTGAATCTATTTCATCATCAACTTTCCATTAATAAATTGAGAATTGATGGAGACTGCAATAAAGTAGTAAAGCTTTCTATCCTTTTTAAATTTCTAGAGCCATATTGTCCATAAATCAAACTTGGAAACAAAAATAGGATGAATTGCAACTAGTTGTGAACTTGATGAAGAGAACCTTAGTGTCAAAGAAGAAGACCAATAGCAGATATGGTCAATAAAGTAACATTGACTCTTGAAATTCCTTAATAGAAGAGTTGAGTTGGGAGCTAAACCTTGATGGACGATCGACTTCCTCAATAGTCACAATTGATCAATTAAAATGAAGATGTGCCTAATCAAATCAAAATGAGAATATTTGAAAAGTTGCTTGAAAGTGAATGTTAACCAAGAGATAAAACTACTGTCCTGGAAGGTTGAAGTCTAGATGTTCAAAACCATCGAACACAAGGGATTGATCAAGTGCACAATGAGCAAAGACGTGATCAATAGTTTCCTCACATTCACAACTAAAAGGACACAAATTAGTATTAGCAAGGTGATGCTCTCTAAGAATTTCACCAGTTAGGAGAGCTTTATGAAGTAATTTCCATACAAATAGAATGTGTTTTAAAGGGAGGTGAAATTGCCAAAGAGATTTCCAATGAGAAAAATTCCTTAATAGAGTTGGATTTCTAAGTTGGGAAGCAAGCA